CGGGTTTTCCGCATTAGCTCAAATGTTAATGTGAATTTCAAAAAAATATCCTCTACAAAGTAACACCCAGAGAATTTCACCTTTCAGGACAGGTGCTATACTTGATAATCGGATTGAGTTTTTTGGTAGAAAAAGTGTTCTCATAAATAAAAAAAAAAATCACTTGAAAACCAGTACACTTTTCGATCAAAATAGGGGCGAGGGAATAAAATCTCGGTAGCGGTAACGCCGGACCGGACGGTTACAGAATTCTAACGAAATGACACGATTTCGATAGTATATACACTAATAACAATATTAACAGTGGTGTGTATTGGATGTTGGTCGAATTAGTACACCGTCGTTTCCAAAGTGACCGAAAACGGAAACACAAAAAACACAAAATCATTTTACCCTATTAAACGTTTGTTCGTTTATTGGTTGACATAGCCGTCATTATAGCAGCAAGAAGTTCACACCGAAAATTATTCACGTTTTTTTTTTTCCCCGTCTGTAAATTATCGTGCACTATTATTGTTTTATAGTTACTCCGGTACTCTCTTTAAATTATTATCTGTGATATACACAGTTATTTCGTAAATACCACGCGGTTTAGGAACTTTTAGTATTTGATCGTCGTTTCGGGTTTGTTTGCGGTCTGCCCTTACACAAATATTATTCTTTACCTAGGTATTTGAGTATAACGTACTATATTGAAATGCGTACCTTACGATTTTAGACGGAAATCCATCGATTTGTTCGAGATTTGGGAAAAATTCTTGAGTTCAAATACTGTAATGGAAAATACTGTTAATACTGCCAATTTATATTCTGTCATTTTACCACGAAGATCCGAAAGATCAATGCTATTTAAATGTTTTTACTGGTTTTTTGTGCCTATAAAGTACTCAAATAAGTATTTGGTGAAAACTTCTGGTTTCTACCTCCACTATTATTTTTCACTGACTACCTAACCTAACCTAACCAATTATTGCGTAAATATTTCCGTATGCCGACGGCTTTACTCGTTTTTCCACCGTTATTAAGAAAACTATACGGAAAATCAAAAAATAATACCTCTCCAACAAATGCACCAACAAAACAAAATTAGATACTAGAAACCATCCCTGATGTCGATTATCGGAACAAGATTTCTGGTTAAAAGTTGTTTACAAACAGAGAAAAAATTAAATTAAAAACGCGGATATATACAATTCCTAAAAATTGAATTTTTCCCGAAAATTCTCACCCCCACTAATTGATATTAACATCATTTGGATAGGACAGAATTTAAATAATATTTTAGTGAGTATTACGATTATACGTACTATATCTCGGTATCATTAATGTATTTTTGTTCCGAGTTGTTAATGTTATTATTATTTTGTAATTGTTCGTGATTTTTCGTCAATGAAATTACTAATATAAAAATATATATATATAAAAAAATCGATTGTAAATAGAACATTCGTTGAACGAAAATCAATGTTAACGAGATGAAACTAATAATGGACAAATATTGTATTATTTTTGACGGGCATTTTCAATTTATCAATAATAATTCACCTAATATAATGTTTTATGCTATATTTTATCTGTACTATTTTATTTGGAGTTTTTTTTTTTTTTTTTAGACGTGTTATTCTGTGAACGAAAGATGCTCTCGTGTAAAATCCCCGAAGAGTCATAAAAACGGCATGTAATTTACAGCATAAAAAACAGTTTTTTTTTTTTTTTATTCCGAAACATCATGTCTGATCACAGCTTGAACGAACCCTGGGGACCAATCGTTTATTCGGGACCATATACTAGAGACCAATATTCATCCCCTCTGTATATACATACAATAGAGAATACGCGGTTACACGATGTGCGTTTGTAATCTCGAATCAGTTATCGCTTATATTATTATTTTATGGTTTCGTATTTTAGGGAGTTTAAACATGTACAATCTAATTTCATGTGTTGTTTTTTTTTTCTTTTTTTTAAACGAATTTGAATTAATGTAAGTCATAGAGTCGTGCACAAACCGCTATTAACGAAAAACAATATTCAGCGTTTGGAAATTTGTTTCAAAAACGTATCGTGTACCTTTGTTTTTGTCTGTGTTTATTGTACCGCAGCACGACGTGCGAAACTATTCTGTAAATGCCGTTCGGCGTGTACCTGTAGAAAATTGTATAATGGGAATACATTCCCATTCACATTTTCATCATTTCTTATTTTCATAATGCATTCCACTGCAATTCACTCGATTCGAAATAGATTCAAAAATTAATTTATTTGTACAATTATTGTAAATATAACCACAAGGCCACCCGACAAACCGTTACTAACGAAAAACGATTCTGAGCGAATTTCGGTTAATAGTATTGCTTTTTTAACAATGTGTTCTTACAAAAACGATTTTTTTTAAAAAAAAAAGATGAAAATAATAAAAACTTTAGCATAAAATAAATAAAACCGGTCACCAATGACAACATTCTCTTATTCTTTTTTTAGTCTGTAATATATCCAGGCGACAATACGTCTACGCAGCAAAAATTATATTATATATAAAATATTATTTATATATTAGGTATATTATAGTTTTAGTTTTATATTTATTAATGTAGCAATAAACCTTTTTGATATGGAGCGGGATTACGTCTTTTTGCGATTACTTAAACCAACGGCAACAACAAATTCGGGTCGTCTCCACTGACATTGTAGGAAGAACGGACGTTTGACTGTCGAGTGAAGACATATTATCATTCTGAAGGAAGTCTTTTTCCACTGGTATTCGAAGAGAATCATCATTTATGGTAGTCGGGAAAGACATAGCTTTTTAACTGAAATTCCTTTCGTTATTATTGTGTGTTATGATTAAGTATTATTTAAATATGTTTTACGAGTATTGTGCGCTAAAATATTAAAAACAAGTGTTTTTCTTTAACGTTACTTTCTTTTATTCTGGAGTATATATCAGTGAAGGTGCCACTGTATGAAGTAACAAGAAATTATTGGACCTTTTTCTCAAACAGTACTCGTTATCGTGGTCATTTGAAGAGTATTACAATATTGTCTCGATATAATATCACCTATACGTTCTTTTACACACTTAATCAAACAATAATCGTTATCGTTATTATTTAGTTAAGGCGTCGAATTCTAAAATAGGTATTTAGTGTCAGAACGCCGCGGCGCACAGTGGGTAACATTTCCTTGGGCGTTCGGTCGGCGGACAGTAAAGCTAAGTACTGAAGTTTTCGGAATTCGCCTTGTGATTCCTGCTGTGTACGTCCAAGGAAGAACCTTGCGTGTACTACAAACCTCAAGAACCAGCTTTTTCTCATTATCTCGATTATTAATGGACATTTAAAAAAAAATAACTTTTTAATGTACCAACTAGAGCCTAATGCATCAAATGTCTATTTTATCATGTTTTGATTGATAGCATGTGAGAACTAACATACCTAACAGAGAAAGCCGTAGATTGGATGACTAAACTAGACATTAAATTGTAGTGATTTATTCTATTTTTGTTTTTATTACTATATGTTAGCTGTATATGCTTTATATGACTTTTTACACTCATATTTGTATTAACATTCATTTATTTTTGTTACATGGATGCCGTGTGTTTAAGATTGTAATAATTGGAACAAAACTTCTAGGAGAAATTTTGTACACAGTATAAAAAAAAAAAAGAAACCCCTTTGTAAAACTAATACACTCCTCGCTTCGCTCAGAATCTAAAACTTCCTTAAAGTATTGTAAAACAAAATATTTCACACGTGTTTCGTTATATTTATTTTCGGAATTCTATCGTTTACATTCGCATTTCGGAATAAAAAACGAACGAATTCGTTATTTAAAAATAAAAATAATTGCCTTCATGAATCGTGAACGCATTCCGAGGAATGCGTTCAAATGAAAACGGAATTGAAATTCGTTTTTTTCCTAACACTAAATAAATAAAAATAAAATAATTGCAAATATTCGATATTAATTTTTTTACGAAACCGGTGTATTTTTAAAACCACGATTCGTTCGAACTGTAAAATCATAATTAAACTTACCGGTGTGTGTTTCGCGTTTTGTCTAGTGGTAACTACTCAATATATCATTACAATAACAATCAGTAATCACGTGGAAAAATGAATTTGAAAAAACAATTAAATAAAAACTCGTAATTACTGTCGAACGCCTGTAACGCGAAAACCGTCCAGAACGCATTGAAAATTATATCGCGTCGATAAAATAAAAAATGAACTGATTTTAGTATTCGGCCGTCTGCGACTGTTTTTAACCGCGAATTACAAAAAAAAAAAAAAAAAAACAGCCAAATAAAAAATAACACAAAACCGCACCGTTACGGGAAAATTCCGTTTTTTCCACTTTTCTTCTCCCCCCTACCAACGAGGTTTTCCCTCACGTTTAGAAATGTACGGAAATACGGACTTACCGGTGCGCTGACCAGACGCCGTTGGCTTTCGGAAAAGACGTTATACGCTTCAAAAATCGAAGCGAGATTTCCGGTATAGGTTCACGGACTGAAAACAAACTACGCGTCGTAACTGAGCCGAGGTGAACCCGGAAAAAACAACTGAACTCGGCCGTGATGATCCTTTTCGTTTACGACCCGAACGACCCGCAACGAAAATCTATCGGCCGTCCTCGTGTCGTCGAAAATCGTCTTTATCGCGTCCGTTCACCGAACGGATTTTGTTATCGCGTCCGGGCGATAAACAAACGAAACAGAGTCAATAATATTGCGCGCGCCACGGCCGCCGCCGGTGGCGATATCAACTGCGCAATCGGTTTTTTCCCGAATTTTGTTTCCAAATACGTGAAATTACGGACAACAAAACGAATACGGTTTCGATATAAAAGCCGAACGTCGCGTTCGAACGTCCGTCACAAATCGTACGTCGTCACAGTCGCCGTCTCTCAAAGTCAGGCCCGTCGCAGAGATCCGTTTCTGAACAAACGCGGCGAACATAAAAGTAATGCGCGCTTTTAGAACGCTGGCGATAATAATGTCGGCGGCGCTTTTTGCGGCCGTCGAGGTAAGGACATAACGTTAAAAAAAAAAAAAAACAACATTTTTGTATTTTATACGGCATTTTGTTTTGTCGTCAAGGCTGAATTGGATTGTTCGTGCGACTGCGGAAAAATTCCGTGTTCATGTTGCGACTCGGAACCATTTTATGGACCGCCGCCGTCTTCGCCCTCCAATGTCGCGGCTCGCTGCGGTCATCCGCCGCCGCCGAGCCCTTGCGCGCCAATTCCACCACTGCCGACCGTCCAGACTCTTCCGTACGCCCCGTGGCCTATCTCTTCGCGACATCCCACCTGCTGCGATCCGTCCCCGTATCCCTGCCCTGCGCCGTGCGCTCGACCGCCGCCGTTCCCCTGTCCGGTCCCGTCTACTCTCGTTCCGGCCTACTGTCCGCCACAGCCGTCGTCGTGTGTACCGCAGCCGCCGCCGCCGCCTTGCTCGTTCCCGTCTTCCGGCACGGCGGGCCCCGTTATTAGCCCGGTCCCGTCGCTGTCCGCGATCCTCGAATACTTGACGCAGCAGCCGTCCGCAGCGCCTTCTTGTCCGCCGCCGGTCGCCCGCTCCAAACTGTTATCCGTCCCGTTGAAACCGCTACCGTCCCCGTGCCCTTGCAATAGTTGCAGCCGACACCCGGGATCGCCGCCTCAGTTGGCCGACTCGTCGCTGGGCTACTTACGCCGTCCGCCGACGTTTGCGCCGGGTTGTTATTGATACCCGATTTCAATAATGGTAACACGACACGTTCGTTTCGAATAACACAATAACGCAATACGCATTGAACGCGAAACACGACAATTCGTATCTTTAGCGCGGAAGGAGCCGGCTATAGTATTGTCATTGTTGTTAAAACTAATTCTTACTTTTTATTTTGTTTTCGTTTTTCACTTTCGGTTATTGATTGTGCATTACGCGAGTTATTAAATTATTTCCCCTCCCCCCTCTGAAATATTTCGCATTATTCACGGAAATATTATTAATCCTGTAATATTTGAAATAAACTATCTCTCTCTCTATATATATATATATGTATTAATTTGAAACTTGTTTTTACTGTGTCCACTAAATTGAGAGAATGGTTAAGTGTAAACATTTGGTTGAGGTGTCTAGACTAAGGTCTTGGTCTGTCATCAAAAGGAAAAAATTAAAAAAGCCGAACGGTTCATCCCCAGTAAGTGAATAAAGCATTTCTTCCGTGGTTGCGGAATGACTTAATCCTATGTGACTTTACTTCATTTCTGCCGTGGAAAAAATTGTATTATTATAAATTATTATTTTATTGGGTATATCTAGCTTAGTTTTCTGTCTTATATCGGATCTTTACCAGCGATTTTAATACCTAAAAATTACAAAAAAACAACTTTTATTATCCAAGCTTCGCTCAAAATCGTTTTTCGTTAGCAACAGATTGCGTACAGATATACATTAAATTTTTCCTCTAATTTCCTAACTTTTTACCTAAAACAGTAGTCCACTCATCGTGCGAAGTATGTTCGTATTTTTTTATAAATAGTTTTAAAAAACTGCTAATATTTTATTTTATTTTTTTTTTTTTTTTATACTGTGTGCACAAAAATTTTGCTTCAATTTTCAAGCATATAGCGGGGAAGTTCGTATTTTTGTAGATTTCAATTTACGAAAATAACACGTTAATTATTTTCAATTTCGTTTTTTTTTGTTGTAATTTAGTAAAAAAATGTTCGTAGAGAATTTAAATTTGAACAAAAGTCCATTATTTTTCTTTTCTAAAAATGGTAAAATGTTTAAAAAATTTTACCATTTTTGAGCTATTTATAGACACTTGCATTTTTGCGAATTTGTTACGCAATATTTATTCGGTAGGTACTCTGTGGAGAAAACTGTTCGACCAAACAGAAGTGCTTGAAAATTTAACAGGAGGTTCATTATAGGTTTAACTTAGTGGTCATCAAAATAAAGTCGAATTTAATGTAGAATTTTTTTTATAAGAATTTGAATATCAAATTTTGATGGAAATCGTAAATTGTATGGCCTTTCAAAACATGTATAACCGAACTCTGCTCAGAATCAGTTTTCATTATCAATGATTAATCGTTGCATATAAAAATACATTAAGTTTCCCTCTATATCCTACCATCCCAACTTCTCACTTACAACAGTGACCCAACCATCGTGCGAAGCATGTCCTTTTTTTTTTTTTAGCTTTTGAGCGTAGCAAAAAAGCTATATTATAGTTATACCAAAATGAGTTTTCTGTTTCGTAAAACAATTTTTTTTCGGTTAATAAAAATGTTTCAATTTTTCCATGACATACCATAAAAGATGTAGATTTTTTGTCTGATGATACTTTATTTGAAAAACGCCCGATATTTTGTCATAAATTGCTTTTTATTATCATCATTTTATTTAATGTGTAAATGATCTAAATATCCCACACCGCAATTTAAAAGTGGTGGAGTTTTCACCCGATGATACTTTGTATAAGAAACATTTTAAAATCGATTCCTTAATAGATTTTCTGAAAAAGACGGAAAACGAATAATTTTTGTTAAATTAGTTTTATTTTTGTTGATTTCTGAGTTACCTTGGCTTCTTCTTGGAGGTTACCGGCCACCAGGACCATCCCACCACACACCCAATCTTCCTATTCTCCCTTGACATATTTGGGTTGCCTTGATTTTATGATAAAATACACAATTATAATAGGTACTATACATCTTAACCCTACATCCCATACCTTCTCATGTTAAATGTTCCCGCCTACAACAGTGATCTACCCGTAGTGTAAAATATGTTCAGCTTTTTTTTTCACATTCAGTTATTTGTATATACATACAAGAAAATTAATTATTGTTAGATTTAAAAAAAAAATAAATGAATGTATTTGTGGCAATATCTTTAACTCCTATCAAAAAAAAAAATTATTAGACAACTATATATTATGTGAAAATTAATTATTGTTCTGCTTTATTTTCAAATACTTATGGTTTTTTTTTTTTTTACGTTATTTACAATTAAATTAATACGAGGAAATTAAACAACAGTATCAAGTGTTATCAATATTATGCTATAGTATCATATTATTAATACTGTTATTTAATATCCCGAGTAAGTATTTCTGATAACATTCACTATTATATAAATAGCATTTTGATAAAGAACTGAATTCTTACAACTATAATATATAAGAACGAGGTACGTGAATGAAGAAAAATATCAGTCCACTAAAAGTTCTTAGTATATTACGTTTATAATTGGGTACCTACGTCAAAAACGTAATTTTCTCGCCGCGATTTTTCAAAATACTTTAAGCAAAAAGCAACATGGCCGATTTTAGAAATTTGATGCCCTTGGCTACGATAATGATGATAACAATAAAGGTAAGAAATATATTTATTCGAAATTAATTTTTTTATTTTAAAACGCTTAATACCTATGATATGGGTTAATTTGAATTGAAATTTTATAAAAAAAAAAAAAAAAAAAAAAATAAGAAAAAAACAGAAAAATATTTAATTGATTCACGGTTTAAAGCATTTTTATATTTTTCAGCTCTGTAATGCTGGTGTATATTCAATTTCTTCATCTAAACCAGCCGATAAACATACTCGTCCGCAATATTTGTTACTGAACAACCAGAATACTTCAGCCGGGTTCTCTGTGCACCAGAGTCCCTTACCGTATTCAGTTTCATCATCGTCAACGAATATAATTCTAAACGTTACCGCCGATGCTGCCTCGTCTCATTGGTCCAATTCGACTTCCGGTTCGGTCCCGTCCTATGAATCCACCACATTACGTCTACCCGCTAACGTGACATTCGAACTCAATTCTACACTCGATCCTTCAGCACCATCATTATCGAATTCTGCTCCATCCGCGTTGCCTTCTACTTCCACAGCGCCACCTTTATTAGACTCGAATAATTCCGCCTATTCGCCGTTCAATCAACCGACTTCGGTACATATACCGAGATCGACTCCTACTCTGTTACCGCCGTTTAAACCGAGCTCGAGAATGGCTTCGTCGAATCGTTCTTCTGTACCTACCCCTTTGCGTTTATCTTTTTCAATTCCGACCGGTGATCAGTCTACTTCGGTGCCTCTAATGAGTTTACTGTCGTCTTTAAAACCCACAAACTCGACGCCGGAATCGGCTTCGTATTCGGTATCTTATCAGGCCAATCAAGCTATATTAACAGAACTTTTATTAGAACTCCTATCCGAAATAGATTCTCCGCAAGAATGACGACCATATTTTATTTACTAGTGAATTTCAATTTCACGCCAGTTCCCGAATTCGTCACCCACTCGCATAAACGTTCTCGAATTTATTAAATAGATCCTAGCTATATTTTTTTTAATAAAAACCGATTTTTAATACCGAGCTCGGTTCCATTTTTATCGTGGTGTTGAAATCAAGTCTGCCTATTATGTAAGTAATAATTCGTTTTTTTTTTTTTTTTAATTTGTATATTTTGTTTTATTTGTATAACAGATTAAATTAAAAAAAAAAAAAAACAAAGAGCTACCCATTAAACGATATCAATCAATAAACCATAATTTCATAAAAGTACTCAAGTATTTATTTTTTATCTACTTGCTAATATAGAAACCTATGTATTATATTTTTTATTTTATAACTTTGTAAAACTTCAAGAAAAGATAACATTCACGGTTATGATTCGGTTTTCGTTGAAATAATAATGGAATATAGGCGTTAACGCCTCCGTGCATTGAAATATGTGCAGTGTATTATGTTGTGTTTTACACAATATTATTATTTATTTGAAAAATGTTTTCGACACTATATTATACATTTAATCCGTTTACCGCGGTGTCCATAACTCGGCGAACAATTAAAAAGGAGCGCTTATTGCGAATATTTTATCATAATAATATTACGACGGCGATAACTGGATCTCTATACATTAGCATTTGAATACGACTCGGGACGACTAACTTGTGTTCCACACTCGTAATTATCCGTATAATTATGCGTAAACCCCGTATACACAACGATACGGAACAATTATCAGTATAAATAGTATTATGATAATTTCAACCATTCGGACAACGTTTTCATACAATAATATACTCGTATGCTCGTAAATCACTAACCAACCGAAATTATGATAATATTATTATTATACACGACATAATTTTTAATAGTAATTTTATTATTATTAGGTAGTAGCGTAGGTTACGAGCGCGATAGTTGACAATTAATTTTCGTCGTAATTCGATTAAACACAAAAATATTAAAATAAAAACACCAAGTGAGCAGCAGAACTCGGAGTCATTTGGGTCGAATTTCCCCCAGCCGATCGGTCGCCGTTACTATAATTCATTTTTTTTTTTTTTTTTAACTGAATTAACACAGTTATGATTGCCAGTTTTATAATATTTTAGTATGTAAAAATCGCACGATATACTGCGAGCTAAAGTTGGTTAAAAGATATGATATTTTTATCAAATTTTCAAAAAAAAATTGAAAACGAACGACCTTAAATGTGTAGAAATTCGACTACTGTTTTTTATGAGAAAAAAAATACCTATAAAGATATTCATAAGATAACATAACACGCCTAAATAACATACATTTTTTGATATCAATGAATTGAATCTAGTGTCAAAAATAGGCGTTTCTGTTCAAAAATATTAATGCGCTCATCGAAAAGGTGAAAACCCGGAATTGCAGTATTCTAGAGCGTGTATTTTAGTGTAATCCCTATGATCCCTTGAAATTCAAATCCAATGTCATTCGGCTAAAATATTTAGCGTTGCCCGGAAACGTATATAATCACACTGTGATACATAATACGTGCAACAGACACAATACGCAGAGCATTAATCTTTACGAGATACCTATAATAGTAAAATTGTACAAAACGTAAGCGACGACGATCGATTTACACGTTCTAATAAAATGTCAGTGTAGTTAGATTTTTTTTTTTTTTTTTTTTTTTTCGTATAATACTTCATTATCGTAGTTGACGCACACGCGGGAAATCAACTATATCGTATTAACGAATGAGCATAATAGTACATTGAATTCGAACCGTATAAATCAAAACTATTTTGACGTTCGAACATTCTTCTATTCCTCGAACACGAATACGAATTTTCGGTTTAAAACCGCATTATACAATATAATGTATGAGATGGAAACGCGTTAACGAGGTTGAGACGAAACTACGTTGATAAAATAATAAAATTAGTTTTTATGGCCGTGTTTACTACTGTCTTGGTTAGGACTTAAAAAAATGCACGTTATTAATGGCGCCTATAAATTGTGTCGTTTGGATTATTGAAATTGGAGTTAAAAAACAAACAACACAATTTAACATTGATAAATATTTTCGAGGACAGTACGGGTTGGTGTTTTTTTTTTTTCTAAAACAGCGACAAACAAACGAATATTACAGTCATGTTGGATTTATTTTATTTTTTTTAGTGTAAATTTTCTCGAGGGGGGGGGGGTATAAGAGGAGGTCATGTCCCCCAATCGGAAAATATAAAAACCCGCAAAAAAAAAAAAAAAAATTGTTTTTCTCTAGCCTTCACGCACAGCACATAGCTTATCAAAATGGACCTATCGCCCCGTAACATTTTTTTTTTTACAATTTTCTTATTCTTATCGCCGCATAACTATACACACGTATATCCGTAATATTAAGTCTTAAAACGCGCGTTCGGCGACCCGGTCCCGGTTAGTCTCTCGTACGATATTATTACACCGTCGGTCGGTCGTGTGAAAAAGGCGACGATTCGGTAGAACACAAACCGACGGGAAAAAAAAAAAATCGTACGAAAATCTGTTTGTTCTTTTTATATATTTCTCTCTCTCTCTCTCTCTCTCTCTCTCTCGGGTCGCGACGACGTTACGACGTGTATACAAGTGCATAAAATACGTTACTCCGCGAATATGGTACGCCGCCGGTGTACGGTTGCGAGCAGAGTGCGATTATTATTATTATTAATATTATACGTTTTCTTATATCGTTTTCGAGAATACGCGATTTAACCGACGGGTTCGAATTAAAAACTGAGCAAACGCCGCATACATACACACACACACACACACAGTGTATACTGTTTACTGTATATCGTATACGTATACGTATTATAAAGTACGCGCAATAACAGCTACTCGGCGTCCCCTTTATAATAATATTATTGTCGCCATTCGACCAGACCGACACGACGAACAATAATAATCATAATTCCGTTTCTCTCCCTCTCACTCTCTCTCTCTCTCTCTCTCTCTCCCTGTATACATTTATATATATAAAACGTACATACGATCGTTATACTTATACTCGCTATATACACGTATATAAGCGTGCGTACACGTTGAAATACTACCCGAATAAAATTTCGGCGTGTTATACATATATATATATATGTATAAAAATATTATTACAGCGTGCGCGCCGAACACGGAGAGAGCTCGTCGACCCGGCGGCGGCGGCGGCGTGAACAGAAGGAACATCGCATGAGAACGGCGACAATATGATGGCCAGGCGCCCGTCTGCCGACTCCGTCTGCGCTTATAATATTTCAAATACATATATATACACTAAGTGTAATATAATAATATTATATTATATACCCTTATAATCCCTCTCGCCGGTGTGTTGTAAACCGATTACGCCGACACCATAATATACATATATATATACGCGTACGAAATATTATATAAATGCGTGCGCCGCAAAACGGAAAAACGGCGCGAGCACGCGGTGTATTATAGTCGACCGACGACAGTGTTCGCAACCGACGGGCGACGTGGCGACATCGTCCGCCTGACGCGGGATCGCGATTATCACGCGCGAAATTTCGGTTTCGGGGTGAAATCGCCCGTTGTAAAACGAAATGAAGACGATGATTTCCGGCGGGCGAGACGATTCGTTTATCGTATTGTTCTGATAATATCATCGTTACTCGTCGTATATAACGTTCAGTTACGGTCACCGTTTAGAAACGAAAACCGGTTCGTCGTTTTTTAACGACCGTGAAATTTCGAATAGCGAATTTAAAAAAAGGACGGACATAGTACTTCGCACGCGGCCGCCAAGCGTGCAGCCACTGTTGCAGGTGGGATGTTGGGAAGGTAGGATACGGACGCGAATTCAATGTATATCCGTAAACAACGATAAACCGTTGCTAACGAAAAAACTATTCTGAGCGGGGTTCAGTTAGTAGTGTTGCTTTGTTAACAATATACATGTCGTATAATGGTAAAATGATTACAACAGTGTGCGTTTCCGTGACAAAAATGACTGTTTAAAAAAATAATAACGGTTGCCAATGACAATGTTATTTTTAATCTTTCAATATTTTCTAACCTAAAGGAACCAGGTTTTCCTCATTATCTCAAATATTAATAAGTACTTCAAAACAATTTTCTCTTTAAAGTATCACCCAGAGACGATTTACTTTCAGAAAGGGTGCTATACTTGATAATGAGTATACTTTTTGGTAGAAAAAGCCTTCACATAAATAATGATAAAAAAAAAAAAAAAACATCTTTGTAAAACCAAAACATCCATCCCTAAACTCAGATTCCAAAAAATAAACGTCATTGTAAAATATTGAGCCAATAATAATAATAACGCTTTCTGATTCTACGCAGAGGCCTTTGTTCGTCATGCGCCCACGCTGAAAATAGTAAACAAAAGAAAACCTATTGAACGTCGTGTGTAAGGAGCTTCTGCCTGAAAGGCCTCTCGGACGCCGATATTCTGCACATTCCGAACATTAGGACGGGAATTTCTGGATGTTCTGGATTAAAGTGAAGACGGCTAAAACCGAACGAAATGAAATAAAATAAAACTCGTTTAATGATTCGGTAAATGAAAAGTGTGAGATGACAAACGAATTTGACGAGAAATCTGAAGTAATCTATAGTTTTTCATCGAAAATTATATATTTGTAATTTTAAAAATTTGCAATAGATATAACGAATGAATTAAACGCAATGAATAATGAGATTTATAAAGTCAATAATAATTACCATCAAAATCACTAAAAATACACAAGTACTTTTCCACAAAAATCTTCTAGGTGTTATTTTTAGCCACAACATAAAGTTATAAAAAAATATTAACCAGGTTTTAAATCCATCACATCGCGTTTAATGTTGAGAGTACTGTTGAGAGAATTGTCCGTCAATTCTTCTCGAAATCGATTTTCCTAAATATTTGATTTTAATGTCTTTAAAAAATCAAATACAGATACAACAACAAAATATCGGACTTGACGTGGCGGATAAGTAAATAGATACAGGTATAGCCGTATATGTATAAACGACTATATAGCTAATAATGTTTTACTATTGTTAAATAATAGTAGTAATAATAATAATAATAATAATAATAGTAGTTTTACTGTCCGTGACAACCGAATGATCATCCATGTCACCTAGGTAACCTATAAATCGATT